CTTTTTTTTTCCTTTCTGTTTGTGATTTTTGTTGTTGTTGTTGAGGCTGCAACACTGGATTATTGTGGCATGTTAGCTTTGTCCCCTGTATACAAGACACTGTCTGCAAAGGGCCGCCATGTGGTGGCCGTGCAGTGGGCTGGGGCCGTAGGGATTGGAATGGAGAGTGGCTGCTGATGATGCGATGGAAATGACAGTGCTTACACAATGCTGTGGGGATGGCTGCACAACCCTAGATAGAGCCCCACCTTTAAAAAACCAACACGTGTGTGTGTATTTAAAATGAATGAATAACATGTAAATGAGACTCCAACAGTCATTTAAAAATAGCTTGACAGGATCCTGCTTTTCCAGCCTCCTATCCCATTCCTCCAATTAGCTTCAACAGATTCAGTATTACTTCCCATTGATTTGTCTGTCGTGCTTTCTCAAGTTCCTCCAGATCCAGCACTAGCCGCTCTTCTAATCCAGCCAACTTCCTCCCCTTGGATAAAACAGGAAAAATAAGCTCTTCTGGCAGGAAGTAAACTCTGCTCTCAACCTTTACTGCACGTTCTTTGTGTCCTGCAGCACAGAGAAGTTTTAAGTGAAGGGATGTTAGTGAGCATCTGCCAGCCTGTAGTCAGAAATTACCCTTCATTGCCTGAGCAGTGTAGTATGTTCTCTTGGGTTCGACTCGGTTTTTCCTTCCAAGAGTGTAACAGATCTCTCGGTTTTTGAATGTGAGCTGAAGAAATGTTTGTGTATGTGTTATATATATATAAAAGCAAGTAGATAAAGCCCAACAGATGACCAGATTTGGATAGGTGATTCTTGGCTTTCAACTTGATAATGGAAACAAGCAAAGGCTTTCGTCTTGTGTAGGTGGACGATGTGAGATAGACAGGTGATACCGGGGGCTGCTTTATAAGCTTCCTGGTGACCATTTGGGACTTCTTTAATTCATTCCCTTTCTGTGTACAACAGTTGGCCTCTCTCTAAGGAAAGATCCATCCAATAAAATATTGTCCCTGTTCCTTCCCCATCACTCTGGACCATGCTACTCAACATTCACCTCACAGTAGCACAGGTTACAGCAGTTGACTATTTGTATTGTGAGGCGCTCTGGTGACAGTAGGTTACAAGTGGCTGCTCCCTGGAAGGAGACACTTTCTATTGGTAACAGTGCGTACCTCTGGGAGGAAGAGACAGGAGGTGATGATGTGAATGGGAGGATGATTTTCCGTGCAAATATTCTTTAGTATTGTTTGACTGTTTTACTGGTTACAGAGATACTTAAGAAAGTTCATGGGAAAATGGAATCAAAAGATAATGGAATTTTCCCATAAACTTTAGGAAACTCTCTTGTATGTTTTTTTTTTTTAGTGTTTGAAAAGCATAGTTACATATTCTTCCTAGTCAGTTAATAATAGCTGATGTTATTTAATCAATTAAATACACAGAAATACGTACCTATGGAATGTTTGTCTGTGTAGCTGCTGGTTTGATTCTCGCCGTGTACCACCAGTGACTGGTGTGTTGTGCTTTACAGAGTGACGTCCATTTGGGAGAATAGTCTCCAGATCACTACAATATCGAGCATCGTCGGGGCCTGGCTCGGAGCGTTTCCTATCCCACTGGATTGGGAAAGACCGTGGCAGGTTGGTTTCAAGCACTTGTAGCAACAAATTAAATGTACATTGATAGTAAAACCAGTGAAGCAAACTAGTGCCCACACAGAGAGCAGTGTAATACGGAGGTCATTTCACGTTGATGAAAAGGTACACATACATCATAGTTAAGGTGACCAGATTTTTAACAATTTTTCCTACTCCCATGGCGCTTTAAAAAAGTTCCGATTTTTGGAAAGAATGCACAAGTTAGGGTATATGGTTTTCGGCTGCCATGTAGCTATTTCGCCAGGATATGAGTTTTATCAATGTTGTCCCGCTTTACCAATGTTAAAATCTGGTCACCTTTGCCATAGTCCAATATGTGGGTAAAATCATATATTGAACCCACTTAATGAATGGACATATAGAATGTTTCTGATTTTCAGTAGTATACACAAAAACATCAGGGTGATTATCATTCTTAAACATAATACCTTTACATATTTGTCTAGTTTTCTCCTTATGGTAAACTCCTAGTTAATGGATGGCTCAACTCACTGCCATCCAGTTGACCTGTAGGACAGAGCAGACCTGTTCCCAGAGGATTCCTGAAGCTGTGTGTGTGTGTGTGTGT